TACGGCCACGTTCTCTCTCCCTGGTCGCGATCACCCTTTTCCACCGCCACGATCACGAACCACCGCCGTCCGAAAGATAGGGACACTGCCCGCTTCACCCGTATCCCTGCCACCGCTGGACGCCCGGACGTTGGCTTCGCTCGCTCGCGTACGCTCCTGACTCCAACCTCGAATGTTAGCCCCTGTCCCTTTTCCCGTTCGCTCGAATCACCCTCGAGACGCCTACGATACCGTAGGGCCAAGAGTACCGATGTATCGATCTCGAGCGGAAAAAAGAACGTCGAAAGGAAAGGGGAGAGCACGCGTCGGATGCTCCGGCAAAAGTTTCGAACGCGGACCGAGATCGTCGCCGTGGAAAACTGAAGGGTGAAGCGGCTTATTCCTGCTTTTTAGAGGCCGCGCGCACACGCGCCGTCACTGTTCCACTCGTCTCTCTAACGAAATTTCGTCGGCCCTTATTCGTTAGTTTCCCGCGCCGCGACCGACGATCAGCCTACGCGCTTTTTGCTCGTCGATCGGACGAAATATCGCTTCTCGAAGTGGCTCTCTTTCTTGCCCGGAGGATCGTCCGTTGCTCGAAACTCGCGCAACGAGATCCCCCGTACATTTTCAGGGCAAACGCGTACGATAATTGGCTCGAATATTCTCTCGTCGAGGGAACCGGCGAAACGTAAAAAATCTGCTCCCGTTAAATTTCCTATTGACGCTCGATTCGTTTGACTTTTCCCTTTGCTCTCGTTTGCTCTTTTTTTCGGCGAAACTTTTTACTTGGTCGCTACTGTTTTGTAAAACCGTCGCGTTTACCGTGTCGACTCTCGCGAATCCGCGATTCGTAATTCCGCGGTACTCTCGTGTTTTACCGGAGCTATTTATTATTCTCGTACGCGTTTCCGTAACTTTTCCCCGCCTCTCTCGCAAGAGTTTGGCAACGCACCGACGCGACGTATACCTCGGATATAAATGCACGGTCGACGATGTGAACCGTATCGCGTTGTTCGAAGAATAAGCAGTCGCGACGATCTAAATACGCGGAGGTACGCGTGAATGACTCTTTCACGAGACTCGAACGCGACTCGCGTACCTGGCGATCCGCGATCTCGGCCACGAGCGTTCTTTCTTCGTCCCGTGCAGTTTCTCTTCGAGCCAGCCAAACGTCGAGCCAACCCGCACGAGCGTACGCTAAAGGGAGAATTTCGGATCTCGTTAAACTCGCTCGATGACGCCTGTCCGTTTCCTTTATCGCGAATTTTCACTGGCGAACTCGAGAGACGGCGATAATCGTTTCTTTTTTTGTCCGAGCCCGTGTTCGGTCGAGAGGGTAAACGGTTCCCTGCACGGAACACGCCGCAAAAAGTCAGACTTTGATGAAAAATGGTAGCGGCACGAGAGGCCGACGAATTATCATTTCTGAAAGTCGGAGTCGGAATCGGGCAGGAAATTAAAACACGAGAATTCTGCCGTTTTCGCAGCCGCGCGTCGGAAAAAAGAAAGGGACGCCGCGTACTAATTATCAAACACCGAAGAAAAAAGGTTCGTCCCGTGGAAAGTTGCGCGACGATTTCGACCGCACCGGCCCGTTCGAAATTACCGACGAAATACGTATAATCGTTTCGGGTAGTCGGTGAAATTTTTTCCGAAACGCGGCAAACGTTCTCGATCGAACGCGTCTCCTTGGAGAAAACTCGTCGAACAAAGGTAATTAAATCCGACGCTCTAATTCACGAGTTCTTCCCCCGTTCCGGCTATCCATCAACCGAGCAGAAAATGAAATTTGTACGAAAACGAGGGAACGTACAATTTGCAAAGTTCAGCAAAGGGTTGAAAGTTCGGGTAGATAGTAACGGGAGAACGGTCGCTTCACGACGCTAACGTTCCCGGAGCGATCTTGGCGAAAACGGTTGAGCGATCGTCCCCCGATCGTGGCGTCGAATCGACCGTTTCGAGACAGGAAATTAATTTTGCAACGACGCGCGTGTACCTCGAACGGGGAAACGCGTCTCGAATCGCTTCTCGTTGATCCGATAAAGCGTAAAGCGGCGAAGAAACGTCGTCGGGGGCTCGAGAGTAATTGGCGAGGTCGCGCGTCAGGTAACACCGGCTCGCGCGCGTTATTATAAATTATGAGAAGGAGAGTGCCGATGCGA